ACATCCATCATCTCGACAATAAAAAAATATGTCGGCTCGAATTCCACTCAATCTGAACAATGATTAATCATTCATCGAAAGAGTAATGAATGACATAAAATATCAATCAAGACATAAAAAAATTAAAAATGATATAAACTAAACGCGTATTTGCTGTAACAATAAGATTTCAAATAGGATGAACTTCAAATTTATCTGACTAAAAGTGAATTTTGCTCTTCTTTGAAATTTTAAAAAGTGTTTAATCCGCCGAATCAATAAGTTTAAAAATCACAAGTTTAAAAATTTTCCGTTTTTGAAAAGTGAAATAATTGCTAATATATTACTATAATATATGTGAAAGATAGAGAGAAAAAAATTTTAATTTCTTTAATTTATTCTCATCATTCTTTTTTGTTATTGTTCAATGGCTAATGAAACGCTGACTTCGTTCTTCATATTCATATAAAGTTTACTTTCGGACACATATTAACTGATAACAGAGGGAGAGAGGATATAGATAAAGCATACGTGACTAGTATCAAGTTCAAGATAACAAGATTGAAGGACAAGTTAAGAAGTTTAAAGAAAGGGCTAAGTTGCAAACAGGCTGACAATGTATGTGTACACTGTGTAACGATGTTAACTCTATTGTTAACGTGCGATAATTATTTCCACGAAATCGGCAATTAAATTAACTGTTAGTCTCTCTCATATCCGTTAAGACGTGACATAATCGGACCGAAGCAATGTCGGAATAGAATGGAACTCGAAAGGAAGACAAGTCAGCTAGAGCTTGTTACCAGTTAGAGCCCGGAGCGAGCCACCAGTCTGTCAGCCAAAATAAACAGAATGTCACGGATATAAATAAAGCTTTCACTCTCGTCGCTCTTCTTTTTGTTGGGCTGTCGTGCTTGACAGGGGTCCCTTGATCGGCGTGCATCCCGGTGGAAACACTGCTAAAATCGTTCATCCATTGCTACGTCATTGACGAGAGTAATTATAGGATAAGAAATAAGGTTTATTTTCTATTCAGTGGTTTTCTCAATTGTTAGATTAGCCGTAAATGCAGATGAATAATAGAAAAAAAAAACTTTGAATATAACATCTCAAATAAAACTTTTATCTTACGGAACAATATTCTGTTCGAGTTGCGTCAGTTAAGCAGCAAAAAATTTCATCAAGTAAGAATCACTGTTTGTACGATCGTTATAACTGTTTATTTATTAATTTATTTAAAAAATTCAGTAGCATCAGCTTGAATTATCCATACTAGATTAAATCTTTAAATATTTAAGCTTTGCTTATGATTATCTACCTTGAGACTAAATATAATTGAAAATTTATCAATACAAGGATAATTAAAAATTTGATATAGGAAGCAAAGCAAAGACACATTTACAAATTGCGTATGCATAAATTAATTTTATAAACAATGTAAATTATTAAGACATTTAATAATAGCTATTATTCAATACGTTACATTTTTTTCCGTGAAAAGTTATCCATAAATTCGAACTGATCGACAAATATCGAATACTCTAATCCTTTTAACAATAATACTTCAGCAAACGACGGTAAAGCAGTTTGATTATATAGTGCTGCCAATGCACTTGCATACATATGGGATACACCATATTTCTGCATGTTATGCAAGAAAGTAAGTTTCATATTCGACTAATCTTGCGCTTTATGTATGAGCTTGGAGTTGCTTTACCCAAATTCGACCTACATCAGATGTGGCGCATTTACAAGATTCGTCTAACGACAAAGCAACTATAATACTTTGATACCGGATAACCACTTTTGCTCTCTCTCCCTCTCTCTCTCTCTCTCTCTCTTTTTCTCTTTCTCTTCTTGTTTACTATTTTCTCGTTTTACTAGGATTTGCATGTAGCCACAACGGCACTATTCATGGCGGCCGCCGCGTACACGTCCCGCATCCCATATGGAAAAATCCTTTTCCGTATTGCACGTGTGCGCGGTTACGAATAGCCTGATCTCGGTTTCGGTTACACCACGTCGTGTCTATTCATTTTTATATACAACCACTATATAATACTATGCACTCGTACCCCTGCTCGTACCCTCTGCTTTACTTACGCTATAAATAAAATGAGATTTCGCCGTTTATCAATGGCAATTGAGATAAGATACACGATTATAAGAAACGACTATAATAATTACATCTTTTTAAGTAATTATTTTGATAAGCAAATGAGAAGATATTTATTAAAATATTTTTTTAGAACTAGCCCGAAAAGTGCGAATAACAGCATAAATTTGTTGACTATTATTGTGATATATAGTCACAATAAATTTTATCTTCACTCTGCATTATATTTTTAGACGCCATAGTATTCCGAGTATTATGCAGTTGTATATTTTTTATTATCACATCTTTCTCTCTCTTTCTTTCTCTCTTTCCTTTCTCTCTCTGTTTCTCTATTTAATATGCAGCTTTAATTCTTATAATCGTTATACTTCTTTTAAATTTTTTATCTACAGTTTCAACACTGTAATTATATTCTACAATTTAAAAACTTTTCATAAAAATATAATAAATAGTTTAGATTGAATTTTTATGGTTGATTACAAATACATATATAAACTTATATCTAATTATAGCACATATATAAATTTATATTAAATTATAGTCTTTGATTATTGCAATATAAATAAAAATTAGATTAACGCGCAGTAAAAATATACTAAATATATCTTTTTCTAAAGCCAATTTTTTTGTACCTCATTATTATCAGTTCAAATTCATAAATTGCCTTTTTCAATAGAATTATGTTATATATATTTTACTATAAATGACTTTTTCACTGAACGAAGATATAATCCTTTCTAATAAATTAATAGCAAATTTATATTGAATATCGCGTTGCTTTTTGTTGTTATTCTATTCAACAAGAAACTACGTCATTATTTTATATATTTTAGAGCTCTTTTTGGACTGCAAGAAAACACTTTTTTAATTGCTAAAAAGTTTCAAAAATTGTTTACAAGCTTTCCTTTTACTTATTGATTTAGTTTTTTTTTCGCGCATTCATTTCCGCGATTCAGAATTATCTTCGCTAACTCGATTGAAAAATTAAAGTTAGTTCAACTGTGAAGCTGTCACGATTGAATGGTTAACCAACGAAGTAACTTCTATTTAATGCCTAACTGCTGGTAAACAGGATCGAGCGTCGGTCCATGTAACGCGGTTACTTGATCTAGGATCTTGTTCGCGCAACTGCGCAAGCTCGACCGTAACAAACAAAGTGTCAGAATCAGGTTTCGGTTAGCGCGAGTTAAACGCGAGGTGTAAAGCCGCTTGAATCTTGGCGTGATTACAATTTGGCACGTCATTTGCACACAGCGTCGCTACGACGCTCAAAACGGCGTTGCATCTCGATGTAAAAACCACCCCGCGTACGAGCATCCTCCCCCCGAAAGTTCTTATACGGTACGAAATAAAAAAGGGAAAAAATGAAAAACGGGATGAGTAAAAAAACGAAGTGGGAGAGTGAGCGAACGAAAGAGAAAGAGAGAAGGAGAACGAAACAGAGAAAAAGAGGGAGAGAAAAGAGAAACAGCGAGCGGTCCAGCCAAGCGCAGCACGTGACGGGTGTCGTTAATATTTCATTAGCATTCGTTTTGCGTCGTTCCACCGACGTGCCCGGTTTTATATACGTTCTACGTTACACCCCCGTCCAGCCGGTAGTTGGATTTTTATTGCTAACGCGGCGCAGTTATCCATAAAAAAATCGCGCGTTTTGCCGCGTCCGTTGACTCTCCTGCTGGTATTCGCAGTGCCATTTGATATGCTTTTCGATGTTTTCAAATTTTTACACAGTGCCTTTCCTATCAGTATGTGATGGAAGAAATTAGAATATTTCAAAGTAAAATCTGCTACAGAAACCATTGTGTATTTAGAAAAATGATCATCTTTGTCCAATTTTTTTAATAATTATATTTTGATATTCTTAATAAACATTATGATAATGACATATATTAAATTATTATAATTTACTTTAAATGTCAGATTTAAATGTGTAGCATACAGAAAGATATTTGAAATGATTTCTATAACATAATTATGTTTTAAGAAAAAAGCCATTATTAATTTGCTTAGTAATTTTCACTTTTATATCAGAATAAAATTATTCTGTATATCTATATAAATCTAGAATGGTATCTGGAGTTTTTATGGTGTCTCTAATTTGTTATATTTGCGAACTATGCAATGCTGAATAAGTAAATTCGTCGATGAAAATATGAAGGACGTTTAAAGAAAGTAAGAGAAGATAAAAAAGAAAAGGATGCGCCGCGTAAGAATCTGCGAGCGAATTGATTTTTTGTCGTCCTGGCTTTATATGTATATTATTGACAAAATTTGTTCACTTCTGCTAATCCTCTGCCAATTCTTCTGGCTGATCTTAACGTTCTATTATTTAGTACTTCGCAGCTCGATTATGTCTTCTTTGACTATGCAATCTTGACAAGTCCTCTCAATTCGGCCAATTAATTAGGATTTAATGAACGCGCTTTGAGCTGCATTTTCCGTCGAGGTTGTGACGCGGAGAGAGTTAAGTTTACTTTCGCGACCGGTATTATTGTCTTCTCTTTCGCTTGTTATACCGTCATGCCACTTTGCTCAGAATTCCTTTCTTAACTGTGCCAGAACTTCGAAATGATCGAGCAACCATTAAAAGAGATGGTATATTACTCGGCGCATCTTATTATACTAGACGTTTTATGAAAGGTTTCGTATTTCTTATTAAAATTATTATTAAATGCATCCGAAAATTTGAATTAGTGAGCTCCTAATAAAACTTGTGGATCTATTATTACGTCAATTTTTATGGCTTTGTGCATATAGCAAAAATTCAAAATTGTTTTGTAAACAGAGCCATATTTCGCGTTTCCTTAAGAGTGAATTCGATTCCATCATTTTTATTGTTAGCGCAGAATTCAACGGGTATTACCAGAGATAGTGTTTCGCCAAAATAATTAAAATTTTCACTCACCGTTCCGATTCTCGCTGTCAGCTGGTTTCATCTGGATCGGATGGCGCATCTGGAAATAAAAAGAATCAACGATATAGTCTACGTTTCTGAACTGGCCTGACCTTATCATCGCCGCTTCGAAAACGTCCGGGCGTAATAAAAGTGACATTTATTATTGATAAGACTGCCGATATCGCGTCGATGTTAGAGAGCGAGGTTCGGATGTAAAGTTCGTTTCGCGCGTTTGAAAAATTCAAGAACGAGAAGCCGTTTTCCACGCGGCTTGCAGTTCGTTCGTACTTACATAGAGGCGATTGCGCCCGATTTTATTCTAAGGATTCTTTCCTATTTCACGCGCACGAGACCGAAAATCAAGTGCGATATAAAGCCGGAATTTCCTATCTTACAGAACGCCGTATTGTCGATACAAATATGTATCTATATTGTTGCAACGTGATATTTTCGGATCTGCACCATGATATGAGAAAAAGATTCATCTTTTCTTATGTCTGGTGAATGTTTTTAAACAGTATGGAATCGATACCTCTTTAATTAAATTTTTTATGTAATATTTTTTTTTTTAAATACATATATTAATTATCAGCATTAAATATACAGATATTTAATCATAAATTTATTCTATTAGAGTTTACCTGATATTAATTAAATAATATTTTGTTGCGCGTTTATATAAAGTTAATTTGCAAAAATTTTTAAAATTTTTACTATTTATAAAAATTAAAAATATATTTTTTATATATAGAAAATATTTTTTATGATGTACACATATTTAATAAAAAGAGATTTATCCTAAATTGTACTTTACTAATCAAAAGAGTGGTTATAATTTTTTGATCTAACTTATATAAAATCATCTCATCGAACGTGTATGATATCTATCTGCAGCAATGAATGTATGTATCTCTCAGGGATATTTTTTATTCATGATTTCTTGTGTGTGTGTGTGTGTGTGTGTGTGTGTGTGTACTTCATTAATATAGAACACTTCAAGTTTTCAAGCAAGATTAATATCAAATAGACATTACATTAACATAATTTTAATTTGACTCTTGAGTAAAACTATTGGACGTTGGAAATTAAAGAGAATATACATATATTGGAACTTGAAAAGCAATTATTAAAATATAATATACTAATACCTGCTTCTGGGATAGGGCAAGTATATTATTATCGCGATAATAGAGTGTTCATTATAACAATATCGTGCTACGTATATATCGGAAGGTCATTGAAACGCGCGATATCTCTTTGATAAACAATATTTATGAGTGGGATGCACGGGAAACGCGTCTGGTAAAGTAGCTGCATTGTATGATCAACCGCTTGTGTGAATATGGAAATCATTTCGGCGTATCTGTTCGTTCGAACGTGCGCAACGAGATTTTCTGCGCAATGAATCTATGACATCGGCCGCGTTTTCGCGAACAAACACACGCGATCTTCATGAACAGATAAGAAGCGTATAGTTAGTGTAGTATGTATATATACATATACACGCGCTACATATGCGATTACCTATCATTCGTTGCAATAAAATCGATTTACGCCAAATTTAATTGTGCGGATTTCGCCGCGAGATAAAATTTATTGCAACTGATGTTTTAGCAATTATGCGATTGAAACAGAGTACGCGCAAGTTGCAAACGATTTTCGAGTAAATAAATGTTATCGTAGATGAACACGTGCGCGGGCTTTCATATTTCTTCTGTATACGTTTAAAATAGCCCCCTTACATATTATTTCAATAGCGCTTATAGGGATTTTCCAATAAAAAATGCGGTCAGTTTTTTTGTTTTTTTTTTAATTGCGGTTCGGTGTAATAGTATGATACAATAATCGATAAATCTAAAGTGCTTTGTTTTTAATGTTTCATTATATGTATTGCATTTTATTAATGCCATATTGTTAATATAAATATTCTCTATCTTAAATGATTCAAATTTATTATTGTAATATTCTTTGCTATAAATTTGATATCACTTAATAATTTCAACTAGTTCTACAAAGACTCATAAAAAATTAGTGAGGTGATTATTCTTTGCAAATAAAAATGGAATGATATCGTAAAGTTATGTCTTTATAACCAAGATGATGCATTATTGCGCCATAGAAAAATAAATGCACGCAGAGGAAAAAAGAAATAATGATAGAGAAAGAGGAAGGGATAACATTTATAGCTACGTTGTGATGAAGCCTCCCTCCCGAGGAAAATGGTAGATCTGACATTTTCGTTTATTATGTGGTGATGGTTATTACGTGTCGGAGGAATAAGCCATCGGTTTTTATGATGCTGGAGTTATATCGAACAGTCCATACTTTAGCGCAAATGATGAGCGAGAAGTCAAAGATCTGGGTCATTTATAAACTTCTCGTTTTTAATTTAATTGCTACGCTCGTTAACGCCATCAACAAATTCTGGCAATGACGAGAAGATTCGATCGAAATATTTGAGAGATCTTCAACGAGCTGCTAGTCGTAACGAATGAGTCACGGCATCTCTTGCGAGAAACGGACCTGAAAGAAGTAAAAATTGTAGTATGTCGACACGTTAGTCGATTAAATATGAATTTTTACGTCATTAAAACGTCTACGGATGAATAATGCTGTATAAAAAAGTAACCAATGTGAAGAATGATATGTTTTTCAGAAATATTAATAAAAAATAGATAATCTGTGATTGTATATTTATTATAATGCAAATATCATTAGCCAATTTATTCTAATAACAAGCTAAAGAAGAGCTAAAGAGCTATACAATGAGATATCCTTGAAATCAAGGATTTATAGATTCAGCAATACATAATATTAAAGATCTACAGTATTAATCTGTGTGTATTAAATAATTGAAAAAAGTGTGATCCAAGATTCATAGAAGCGAGATTTTCTATACTTAAAAATTTGTGTAAGAGTTTATGAAAAAAACTAAGCAGAAAATCATGTGGATTGGAATCAAGAAATATACATATAATATAAATAATATATAAAACCAAAAATAAAAAAGCATTTTATTACATTTAAATTCTTTGTTAAAATATAAACTAAATAATGATATTTTTAAATACACTCTCTTCTTTTTATATTGATTAATATTTTTGAAAAACTTTAATCATATCATTTTTTATACAGTCATCCTTAGATGTTATGATGATACGATCGCTCATGTTTAATTTATTAATGTTGGCGTGTCGATAGACTACAACCCTTGAATCTAATGCATCGGTCGCGTTTATAGTCATTTCTAGCAACGAAAAGATTAAGATTTCCCTTCGAGAGCACTATGTTCGATAGCAATTCTGGCGCTCATTTGCTATTCATTCTCCGAAACTAGGTTCCTTGCAGTTGTGCCCCTGGTTCTATCTTGCCGTCTGCGACAGGAAGGATCATCCCGAGATTCAAATTCGATATCCATATCGACCGGTAGGATCGATACCAAGCTAGATATAATCGGACCACCAGCCACGATTGCGATCGAAGATTATGCGCATCGACTAACGACCCATATACCACAACGGTGATGCAATCTGGATGCGCCAGATTCACTGTATAAAGCAGTATACTTTCCCGATACGAGGTATATCGCAATACAGAATTGTGCAATAGCTTCGATACTTTGAGTATTCCATATTCATTGAAAATGCCTTTTACTTTTGATAGCTGAGATATCGAAATAATAACATTTATATGCATGATTTAAATAATATATACACATGTGTATATGTGTGTGTGTAATACAAAAGATTAATTTTCTTTCTCTTTTTTGAAATATATAATTTATGTAGATAATTTGTTTATTTTACGACGCAAAACATTTATTGGACTCTTGATATTATTTTACTTTATTTCAAGTAATATAAAGTCAAGCTGATGATTAACATGGATAGATAACTTATGAAATATAAAAATAAAACTGATGTATTAAAAAAAAATATATATATATATATAAATATATATATTATTGCCGCGTTTTTTATTAAATAAATTAAAATACATGAAAGTATCAAATATTTCTAGTCTTTCTTTTTTTTTATATTTGTGTTATATCTGTAACATGTGCATATTAAGAAAATATGTAATCTGCGAAAAAAAATGAAGGAAACTAAAAATACTATTCAGAACAGATCTTTCATACAATCTTACACGCGCGCGAACATTTTAAAAAATCTTAAAATTATATATTAATCTGTTTTAACCCAATTAAGCTTCAAGCAATAAATTTTTGAGGTTATAATTATCTGTAACATTTTTATTTTAATGTAACTCTTGAATTTTCTTTTAATATAACTTAATATAATTAAAATAATTTCTCCGAAAATGTATATACTATATGTTTTCATCAAGCGAATTATATAAGATAGATTAATATAAAATATTCTACTGTTGTATCTGTTATTATTGATATAATTTTCACAATAATTTCCATATTAGTTCGAAATCATTCACAAAATAAAAAAAAAATAATTTAATACTCACCTTGTTACGACGCGCAACGGCGGAATTGTAGTACGCAAGGTTGATCTGTAAAATACAAATATATCGAAGTCATATATATAAAGCAGTGTCCAAAGCAATAAATATTTAAAAAAGATAATTATTATACGCAAATAAATTTCTTATCCGTTTTCATTAAACAGATATTTAATAAAAAGATATATAATTGCCAGGAAATTTTTTTTTATATTAACTTTTATAAAATATGAAAAATAAAGATTGAATTCTTATTAAATTGTCTAAGTAATCATAAATCTTTTAAACAATGTTGAAAAATGTATATAAATATTAATTATTATAAATATTTTATTATATATTTTAAAAATATTTAAAAAGAAAATGTAGAGAATATTGTATATGCATTTTATACAATAATGTAAAATACATTATTATTGCAGAGATATACGAGTAATTAATTGTATAAGACTAACAAATAATAAATTAAATATGTTACAAATTGCTCACTACTTAGTTGCTCTGTCATCGTCTGATACCGTCAGACTTTCTCTTTCTCTTTTTTTCAGTTTGTTTATCCATGTTGCTTCTTCATGGCACTTATACGATTAATTACGATCGCGCACGCAGTAATTATCATAATACAATAATCGCGCAGCACTTTTACATGGCACTCGCGATGTTAATTGCACGCGACATGCACTTTATTATATTGTGACGGAAAAACAATGCGAAAACTACGCATTGCATGAAACTACAATCCTCTGGGTACTCAAAAATTGCACGAACAGATTCACACGCCACTCGCTGCAACAATGCCACCTCTATTGTTAACGAACAGTATATATTCGCATTTTAAAATACTTTTACTCTATCTAAAAATTAAATAAAATATAAATAAAATTAAAATAAATATCTCTGCTGCATGTATTATCCAAAAATATGTCGTTATTTTCGCATGATAGATTTCATCGAATAAATATTGCGAAATATGTACAATGATGTACAAAAGAATTTGTGAAACACGGTTGATAAAAACTAAATTAGGGGATTAATAACTATGCTTAATAATTAACGCGTCGCGATATCGTTTGAACAGAACCAATCCATCCCGTACTCGCTTTATTAATGGCTAAAAAACACGAAAATGATATTTTCTCCCTGATATCACACGATATTATACGAGTCGAGTTAAGATGCAATAAATTGCCAGGAAATATATAACATTGCAAGCATATATAGTACAGTCATAGCATAAATTTCGTAAAACATACATATTATTCATAAACAACTTTGAAATCAAATAGAATCATGAATCATTACAAAAATACGTGACAATCTTACATGTTGTTTAAGACGGAAATGAATCAGTTACATAAACCGATAATCGATAATTAGAATAACCATAGCGAGTGATCACGTTTTGAAAGGTAATGTAATGATTTACCGAGCGGTTCGCATTGCTGTCTGCTCGCTCGAGTCTCACGAATGACAGTATGATGATCTTTATATATATACAACAGCGTGCTATTCGCCGCAAGAGACAAATGATACGAGCAACAGATCATTTATTGTCATTATGAAATATTTATATAACATAGTATAAATTAAATGTACATATATGCGATATATTCTGTTTCTTGAATTTTGATTTAATTATTAATACGGCTTTTTGTTTTAATCGTTTGATCTTTGCGATTCACTGTGTATCACTGCACGCTCTCAATCCAAAAATTATTAGCAAATTACATCCAAATCTACGAAAAATTTAAAGCACGAGAAAATAACAGCACAAAGTGCTCCGCTTTCATGTTATATTATTTTTCGAAATACGATCGAAATAAATACCAAGATACGTAATCATTCTCTACGATTACAATTAGCAATGATAACGTCCGCGATTATTAGCGTCTGCTTGATTAATTAATTCCCGCAACAAACGACTTATAAGAGCATCGCGGTGATGATAATTTATCCAAGCTAGTATTTCGCGAAATTATTTACTCAAAGAATAAAAACACAAGATACGGAATAAAAATCATAAATTCTTCATTCTCTTTATAAATTCTCTTTATTGTTTTTTTCTGATATTTAGGGTGATAATTACTTCTTTAATATTTCGAATATATTTCGCATTACATTTTGAAGTTTTTGTTGATTTAAATTTTCATTGATTTGTAATTTACTGATAATTTTCGGATTGAAAGCACGCAATGATATACCACAGGATCGAGCAATTACAATAACAAAAAGCGTGTCAATATATGTTCAATTGTCAATCGTATATTAATCAATTATATATAATTGATTTTGAATTTAATATACTAATCAATCGCGTTTATTAATAATAGATTCAAAATTCAAGAAACAGAATATTCCGTACATACATTTATTTTATATTGTGTTCGTACTTCGTAATAACAACAAATAAAATGTGATTCATGTTGTTCGTTTTTTGCGGCGTAAAGCACGCTGTTATGTATACACAAGGTCACCGTGCTGTCATTCGCGTAGTAAGATCCGAGCGAGCAGGCAGCAGTGCGAGCCGCTCCGTTGTGTTACCTTTCCAAACGCAATTATTTCCCCTGATTATTCCAATTAATGATTATTGGTTCGCGTAACTGATTAGTATCCGCGATAGAAGATACGCGATGATTCACGTGCTATTTCACTTATATAACGAAAAACATAATATATATATAACTGTTTATTAATAATACTTATATTTCAGAATTTACGTATCGTACTATACTTGCAATATTAATTTCAATTATATATGTCCTAACTGTTTATTACGTCTAAACTAAATTTGCGTAATATAGCATTGTATTTTAAAAAAGCTGATATCATTTTCGTGTTTTTCAATTATTAACAAAACATATAGTATGGAGATCGATTCCGAGTTAAGCGATGTCACAACGCATTTAAGTAAATAGAAAAAAGTCTCTCATTACTAATCTTATATTTTTAAATTTATCGATCACATATTTGTACTACTATATATTACTTAAATTCGGTTTTGCACATTGTTGTCAAAATATATATTTCGCGAAATTTATTTTACAGACCAAAATCTGTCATGCGAACAGTTGAAAAATTTAATTATATTTTCAAATATTTTATTCCGCAATTATTTTATCTTTAATTCTAATTTGTATATTTATTTATTCACTTATATTATTACGCAGAATAATACAATTTTTTTACGATATGAGTATACAATATTCGTTAGCAATAAAGGTAGCATTGCCACGAAGAATGGCGTATGAAATTGACTGTGTAAATATCTACAGCCAAATGGATCGTATAGTTTTCGCATTTATTCTCCTGGCGTAATATAATAAAGTGCGTGTCACACACATACACGCATGTGGAATTAACATCGGGAGTACCGTGTAAAAGTCCCGCGCAATCGTCATATTGTGCTAATTAGTATTCATATGATCGTAATTAATTATGTAAGTGTCGTGTGAGTGCCATGAAAAAGCAGCAAAAGATAAACAAGAGAAAAAGAAGAAGCCCGAGAAGATATCAGGCTAAGAGGTGAACAATTTATAACTTACTTAATCTATTATTTGTTAATTTTTTAGAAAATTAAACGTTTGTGTATCTCTGCAATAGTATAATTTGTTTTACATTATTGTATAATTTATATAAAATATTCTACATTTTATTTTAAAATATTTAAAATATTTAATGTAATATTCATAATAATTAATGTTTTTATATAAATATACTTACTATATTTCAACATTGTTTAAAATTTTAATTATTTAGATAATTCAAATAAGAATTAAACTTTTAATTTCCATAAACATTTTATAAAAATTAATATAAAAAAAAAATTTTATTTTGGGGATTATGTAATTTCTTATTAGATATCTGCTTAAAAGACTAATAAAAAATTCAGTAGCGTGCAATAATTATTTTTTTGAAATATTAATTATATCGGACACTGCTTTAAATATATAGTTTGAACATATTTGGTATTTTATAGATCACATACAATTTATGTACTACAACTCCCCCCGTTTACATGTCATACTGGGAGGAAAGAGGATTAAATGTTAAATTATTTTGTATTATTGTATAATCTCGAAGTAATATGGGTTTGTGAAAATTATATTAATAATAATAGATGTAGCAATAAAATATTTTATTTTATATTATTTTGCTTGATATAGATAAATTCATTCATGCTTACTTAAAAATAACATTATTATATTTAAAGAAAATGAAAATTTATGTTCATAGAATGTTATGTATTACTAAAATTTCATGAATTTCATGGATCAATTACTTCGAAATTGATAGATTAACAAGACAGATTCGTATATGCAAATTTAATTTTGGAATATATATTCGCCTAGCCATCTGCTTTTATTCCCTAAATGTCATATATGTATAAAATGTCCTTTAGAAAAGCTTTTTGAAAACATATAACGCAGATTTTTAAATTTTATAATTATCCACGGGTTGCATAATGTAACAATCCACATGAACACATTATTAATATAATTTGCCCAAGATACGTCGTTATAAAATTTCTCGTTAATTCAAGACACGATCTGGCAACATGAATTAAATGATTCAATAGATCAAGGATATTTTACACGCTCGTAAATATAGAGCACTGGATCACACGACTATGTTGCTTGGAGAGATGCCTACTAGTCGGCCTCTTAAATCAACGAGCGGAACGCTCGCACTGAAAACTAGTCGCACAATTATCATCTGCAAACTATCTTTGAATCTTCGTGAACGTTTTAGCCTGACAAATAAATGGATGGCATTTATACAAAAGGAGCTAAGCGTCAATTTTCTCTGAATTATTAACATTTTAATAATCCATACGTTTTTAAAATACAATATTTACATGAGAAAATTTATAAACTATTCATCTCTTTTAACAAGAGTAAATAATGAACAAATAGTTGGTCGATGCGTTATTAATTATCTTTACATAAATGTTCCAAAAATCTATTATTGGATATTTTTTTTAATGGTAAATTCTCTAATCAATTCGCAGACAAGCAAAAGTTTTTAGCGAAAACGCTTAGCGAAAAAGTCAA